CCGGGAACAGCCACTGCACTCCAGTCTGGGTGACAGAGTGAGACTCCAACTCAAAAAAAAAAAAGAAATAGAATAGCCAAATACTATGAGTGAAACTTGATTGTATTCTGGGTCAGAAGTGGGGGTAGGGGAATGAGAAAATATTTTGGGAGCTATAGAGAAATGTAAATGTAAACTAAGTTTATTTTATTTTTTAAAATAGAGATGCGGGGTCTCACTATGTTTCCCAGGCTGGTTTCAAACTCCTGAGCTCAAGCACTCCTCCTGCCTCAGCCTCCCAAAGTGCTGGGATTATAGGTGTGAACCACCACATCCAGCCTATACACTGTTTATTAGATGATATTATTGGACTAAGGTTATTTTTTTTAGATGTGATCATGATATTTTGGTTTTGTAGAAGAATTTCTTTATTAGAAGCTATATCATGAAGTATTTAAGGTTGAAGTGTGCTCCTTACTTTCAAATAGTTCAACACACATACAAAGAAACAAAGTAGATGTGGCAAAATGTCAATAACTGGTCAATCCAGCTGAAGGACATTCTGCTATGCATTGTACTCAACTTTTCTATGAGTTTAAAACATTGACTCTTGAGCAACATGATTTTGAACTGTGCAGGTCCACTTACACGCATATTTTCTTCCATCTCCACCTGAGACAGCAAGACCAACCCCTCTACTTCCTCTTCCTCAACGTGAAAAAGACAAGGATGAAGACCTTTATGATGATTCATTTTCACTTAATGACTAGTAAATATGTTTTCCTTGTGGCTTTCTTAATATTTTCTTTTCTTTAGTTGACTTTTTTGTAAAAAGACAGTATATAATACACATAACATATAAAATATGTGTCAATTAATTGTGTTATCGGTAAGACTTGTGGTCAACAGTAGGCTATTAGCAGTTAAGTTTTTGGGGAGTCAAAAGTGATACTAGCCGGGCTCGGTGGTCAGCCTGTAATCCCACGCCTTTGGGAGGCTGAGGTGAGTGGATTGCCTGAGCCCGCGGGTTCAAGACCCGCCTGGGCAACTTGGCGA